CGCGAAAAAACGAAAACGAAACCTTTCGACTTGCCTTTCCTGGCTCCTCCACGTCCCCCTGCTCTGGGCCGCCCTTGAGGCGACCCAGGCTCAAGCAGTGGGCTCTTGCGGTATAAGTTCACATAAGGAAGTAAAAATGAATTCGACGGAGCCATATCTGCCAACTGAGCGAGTCCGTCGTTCAGATACACTCGGGCAGTTCGTGCGGCGGCCCACCGCCCTTGCACCAGCAATTTATCGAACGAACCGTGGTGTCCAAACCAAAACGTCGCGCCTCCCCGACGCAGACTGTAAGGTCTGAAATGAAGGTCATCCAAACGCAGTGCAGCAACGGCTTTGGTGAAGAGCGCTCTCCACGCATGTGGCTTTACAGTTAAAAATTTTGAGGGAGCAACGGATTGTTTCCATTTCCAGAGTGATGGGAGGATGGAGCGTTCGTGCAAAGTAACGCTTTCAGCCGCGCCTTGGCGCGCCCCTCCCTTAGTGAGGCCAAGAGAAAGCACCGCTGGCCCTGTGGGTCCGGGAATGAAAATGTCTTTCGCCTTGAGGCTCAGGAGCTCACCAGTTCGAAGAAGTCCATAGAAAGCAATTCGGAGAGACAACCCGAATTCAGGACACCCGTGAAACACGGCCCAACCGCACAGGGCATCTAAAATTTGGACAGTCATGGGTGGAGCACGGTTGGGAATTTCTACGGTGCTCCATGCTTTCAGCAACCTCCAGCTCCCAGGCAGTTTCTTCTTAAGAGAAGGGTCTCGGTCTTGGAGTGCTGCTAGGGTATTATTCGCAATCGACTTGCCTTCGCCAGAGGCCCATAGATGCTCCAGGTAGTCACTAACCAAAGAATCAAGACGCACTTGCTGCTTTGGGAGAGAGAGCCCCTCCCCTGCCATCCAGTCAAAAAAGCGGTTGAGACATTCTGTGTACCGTTGTCGAGTACGAGGTTGTACAGTGAGACCCTTAAGAGAACCTAGCTTACTTCGGACCTTCTTGCGCTCCTGTTGGCTTTTTCCTTCCATCACTTTCGTGGTTTTCTTCCCCATTTCTTCCGTAGTGGTCGGCGCGAGGGCCGATCTGCGGGGTTCTGGTGGGTATCCACGTAACCCCAGACTCCGACTAAACCACCTGCCAACTGAAGCGCTCCGATCCGACACAAAGTCCTCCTCAACCTCCGGCTGGACGATCTACCTCGAGACAACGCGTGCAGCACGACCAAGGAATCAATCAAATGCAAGAACCGACAGGAGCTCTCTTCGAGTTCTTTCAGCCGCCACACCAGCGCTGTCTTGACAGCGCGCAGCTCAAGGGCATTGATGTGTTCAACATCTCCTGTCCATCTCCATCCGGCAATATCCTTCCAGCGCCACAACTTGCTCGGGATTGAGGCCCGCAAACGATGGTATCGAGCTGGCAGATCACTCCCCAGCTGCAACAAAATGTCCTCTCCCTTGACCGAGACCTGTCCTAACAGCCGCGTGACCAAGCCTCCTTCCTGCTGTCCGGCCTTTGTAGTCTGTCTCAAAGGTGGTCTCAACAACAATCTGGACAAGTAGCTCTCTCGCCCTGGCGTCAGTCTCTCAACCAAGCTCGCCAAGCTCAACTGCGGCAACATGCCCAAGGTCCTAAACAGAGAGTACAGCAAATACGCAACCACTGGTATCGACCAACTGTTTCCCAAAAGGGAAAGCCGGCAGTCATTGTGCTGGGTGCTGCCTTCCGAGCTTTTCACCATACAACGTCTGGTGTAGCCCAAAGGGAAACCAAGGATCACCTCCCTTTCGCTGACTGAAGGAACACGAACTTGTTCTTGGCGATTGCTGACGCAGTTCTCAACGCGATACTGGTACGGTGGGAACCTATGTAGATCCGCCTTCCACCGGGCAACTGCATCAGCGGGACAAAGGGCTAAGCCTGCTGGTCTGCGCCCCGGCGCCACTGAGGGACGAGAGGTTGTGAAGGTGGGGAACGGCTTGTCTGGCTTCGCACGCGTCCAACCAGATTCCAGAAAGTCCTGTTCATCAAGGTCTACCTTCAACTCTACCTTTCCTCTGACTGGGAGATTCTCTTCTCTCCCTTCCAAGATCCTCGCTCCTTCCAGGCTCAGAGGCTCCCAAGTGCACCAATACAACCGCGGCCGACGGGCAAGGCTAACTCCTCCTGCATCAATGCTCCATGGGGCTTCCCCGTAGGCCTTGGACATCGCCTTGCAGTCCTGAGCGTCCATCGATGCCACGTTCTCAACTAACCGGTGGACTGGGCACCACCTGAAGTATGCCTTGAGCAACGCTTCAACTCGGGGAATGTGCTGAAACAAGCAAGACCTCTCATCTTTCAATGCCCCCTTCCTATCGGAGTTAAGTCCTGAAACTCCCTGACACGGGGGTCCCGCGCCAAGCAGCACAAGACCTACATTGGCAAATCTCATTCTCCACTCCAACACGCGCTCCTCCGTGACGTCCGCGACATCTTTCACACAGACCACGTCCGGGAAGTACGACTCAACAACTCGATTTGCTTCAGGCGAGATCTCAACGGAGACGTAGCCTCCTACCGGCACACGCAATGCATCAAGGGCCACCCTGAGCGCACCTATCCCGTCAAACAAGGACACCACAAGCACCTGATCCATCTCTTCAGGTTCAAGTGCGTCTCCTCGAGATTCAGCTTGACACGCTGCCACTCCAAATGGGCTAAGTTCTCTCGTGACACACAAACCCCCTCCTGTGGTGGAGGCATCACTTGCTGTCACCAACTCTGAGGTTGTCAAGCGGAAGTCCATATAGGCCAGCGGACACAGGGTCACAAAACGAAGCAACTCAAGAGCCACATCAACGGGTAGCGGTCTCCTAACCAAGGGACCCAACACGCTCAATTCAGTGACCTGGCGCCACACTGCATTCAATCCTGACAACAAGGGCCTCCGGAACATCGCAATGTACACAAAGCCTCCTCCAATTACCTGTAGTTCTCGCTGTGATGCCTTGCCTGCGACGCAGACCTCTATGGCCAGCCTCACATACCTTCCTACCTTATCCTTCTTCGGAGAGGCTCGCCCGAGATCGCCATCCACCCAAGCACCTTGCACCTCTGCCTGGACCTCCTGTGTCACAGCCTTCTTAGGGTGACGGGGCAACCCCAGCTGCTGATATATCTCCCGCACTGCCAAGGTCCACGCAGAAGGGGTTCCCTGCAAGGTTTCTGCCATCTTCCGATCAACACGGTTCAGCTCGTCATAGTTGTCGAGGTAGACCCTGTACTGGTGAGGAGCAAAGCTTTGCTGCCGATCCCTGCGGATCTCCTGGTCTCGTCTGGCCAAACGCTTCTCACTTCCTAAGGCCTGTTGAATCACTCGGCGATGGACATGCTGAGCTATGGCCACCGAGTTCACAAACCCCATGGGCAGTACTCTGCTTACCAAATGCCACCCTTTGCCGGAATAACCATCTGGGAGGCTCTCTGGAGGGACCTCCCTTCCAAACCCCATGAAGCGATGCCAGCACGGTGGTGTCCGGAACAAGTAAAAGAAACACCGTACGTCTTCGGACGACGTCAGGAGCAGTTCGCCATCTTCAAGAACTGTTCCCGACAGACCAGTGACCGTAGGTAGTGTACAAGTGTCTCCTACTAGGTTTCGGCATAGTCCGTTGGTTGGTACCAAGTTCATAATCAGCCTACAGATCTCAAACTCCTCACCCTTCTCGTCTACAGCCTTCTCTCCCTTCTCTACTGCAAACAGTCCGTTTAGAACCGGTCGTCCTCCAACATGATGCAACTCTCCTTCCTTCATGAGCCCGCAGACCCCCCGCTCAATCAGGCCCCGGCACACCTCGGCCCAGTGCTCTTGGCTGACCATGATCGCGGGAGTCTTTCCCAGGCGTTGATCCTGAGGCGGAAGAAGAAACTGTTCAAACTCCTCCACGTACGAACGAGCGCCGCCGTCACAGAAACCCACGAGATCGAGAGAACCTACACCTTCGGGGAATGCCGCAGCCACCATCTTCCACTGAAAAGCCCGGGCCACGCGGACTTCTTCCCCAGAATAATCAATGCCTTTGGTTCTAAAGAACTCTTGGAAGGAGATAGGAGGAAGCACGACCCGGGATAGTCCACTGGTGTTAACCACCGTCCTCAACCTCTCTAAGACCCTTCTCTGCACCTTAGTTACCTTTCTGCCCCAAGTTGACTCCACTCCATAGAGACTGT